CTTCCAAAATTTGTTCTTTTTAAAAAACAAATCACTCACTTTATTTTACTGTTAGGATTAAAAAAAACTTCCTTTGGTTTCCTTGAGAGGGATATCAATCATTAGGGTTTATTTATTCTGCAGAATGGAGAGACTGCTCCCATTCCCTAAAAATAAAAATCACTGCACGGGTTTCCGTTCTCTGATTTTAAGAGGACACTTTAAATGTAAGTTTTGCATATATGTTGGGAGGGAGGGAAGCGTGTTTAAATGTACCAGCATCTATGCCATCCTTCTCTTCAGAAAATCTCCAGGTCGCTCCAGTTGGCTTCCCTGGCCTTGAACCCCACCACTTTTCACAATTTAGTGAAAACAGGTTGAACTGACAAGAGTATTTTTGACAAAAAGCCCAGAAGTGTTCTTAAAAAGAATTCTGGAGGTTGGATATTTCTCCTCCCATCTGGATAGAGGAGAGATAAACGGGGAGATGAGATTGTGTCCTGTCTTGGGTCCCAGGCAGTGTTCTCTCTAAGCTGAGCTAGTGTGAGCTAGTTCACAGTTTTTTAGCCTCCGGCTCACACATTTTTGTCTTCGCTCAGGAAGGATGGCTCCAGAGCAAACTAATTTATGCAGTAACCAAATGGCTGGCTCACAACTTTAATGCCAGTAGCTCACAAAAAAGAATTCTTGCTCACAAGACTCCACAGCTTAGAGGGAACATTGGTCCCAGGTTGCTGGTATATAAATATTTAGAATAAATATATACACCAAGTTGGTTGTTGTGGCTTCTCTAGCAGATGACTGGAGCTGTAGAGATGTCCCTGATAAAAAGCAGCTCTTGGTCTGTCTGCCGAGTGTCCTGACATCCTGATGCAAATGTGACCAGCAGACAGGATTGGTACCAGGCTCTGCGTTTAGGAGCAGAATTGGCTGGTGGGGAGCCCATTCAGGTGCCCATCTGTGAGGATGTCCGGTGTATCTCTTGAGCTCAGAACGTAAGTGGGGGGAGTGTTAAATTATGAAAACTGTCTGCGATGCGATACCCGCACCAATGTGCATGCACATTTCAGTCCTCTGAAGCTAGAAGCAGATTTAGCTGTCAGTGGTTTTTTTTGGAGGGGTGTTACCTGAGCTAGAGTTCAGGGCTCGCTCCCCCCTCCACACTCCAGTGGCGACCCCCTTTGCTTTCTCATACGTAGCTAAGCAGCACCCTGATCCATAACTGGCTGCAATCCTATCCCATGGTTGGGTGCAATGCTCCCTCTAAGCTGTGGAGACTTGTGAGCAAAAATTCTACTTTGTGAGCTACTGGCATTAAAGTTGTGAGCGAGCGATTTGGCTGCTGCATAAATTAGTTTGCTCTGGAGCCATCCTTCCTGAGAGAAGACAAAAATGTGTGAGCTAGCTCACACTAACTCAGCTTAGAGGGAACACTGGTTGGGTGGGAAGGCAGCCATTACTTGTGCAGAAACTTTCACTGAGGGCAAAACCTGACTTCCGCCTGGACACTGCAGGGGAAGACAGATGTAATGTTGTGTAAGCGAAGATAGACTTAATGTGCTGTGATGTGGGGAAAGCAGTTTGAACACACACAGTTTGCGTTCTGAGGCGTTTGTTTCCAGCCTTGTGGCCGTTCGTATGTCTGTGTTCAGTGGGAGTGGCTGAGCGGACACGAAAATAAAAGGCCAACGGTGCCTTAATGACTAACCACATTTTATTTCAATATGAGCTTTTGTGCGTTAGGCAGCTCACTTTTTCGGATCGGCAAAGGGAAGATTGTACTAGGGATGCTTATGGGGAAGATGACTGGGGCGGAGAGAGCCGAAGCTTCGTGTGAATTGCACCACAAGCCTTTCAGGTGTGTCCTGAGGGCTGACCTAGACATTACGCCTTCTGTCATCTGCCATGGGGACTTGCCGCCATATTGGAGCTGGGCGTTCCCCTTTTAACAGCGCCTGAGGGGCTTGATTCAACTTGGGACTGTGGTGGCTCCCGGCTCCCTCCCCCTGCCCTTTGACCAAGCCAAAACAGTGCTCTGAGATGTTATTTGCCGTATTTGAGGCCATTTCGGCTGGGGAGAGTGGCATGGGAGGGGGATGACGTAGGAGCTATTCCTCCCCTGTACTATGGGCCCAAGTCAAATTTGAGGGCCTGTGGCAGTGTTAAAAGGAGTGTCCTGGCTCTAATATAGCGGTGAGTTCCCATGGCGGACATCATAACGCAGGGGTCCCCGTATGGTGCCTGTGGTAACTGCCAACACTTTTTCAGGTGTTCACCATGTGGTTTTTTTTAAGGGGGTGGGGCCAGATTGGGCTTTTGCCCAGCGAGGCTTCTTTATTGAAGATTCGATTGACTGTGCAGGTGTTTTTTTTTTTTTTTAATGCTGCTTTGGCAGCAGCTGCCACCACAGCATAAGGATCCACACTGTATTACTGAAGTTAAGCTGTGGCAATCGTTTTGTGGCTGGCTTGGTCTCCTGCGGCAGCCATTTTGTTGCTGCCCCCACCGTGCCCTGTCAGAGTTCCGAATGTGGCCAGAGGCTCAAAAAGTTGGGAAGCCCTGCCGTAATGTCTAGTTCAGCCCTAGCAGAGATCCTGAAGTGGGGTGCAAATTATTCCCACCCACCCACCCTACATGGACACAGCCTTCTGCTGGCACATGCTGTAATTTACGTCGACCGGTTTGTTAGTTTATGTATAAATATGAAAATCACCCTCAAGGAATTGTAGTGGGTGAGAAGGTTTGTTATAATAATAAAAAGCATTTGTTGATTTTTTTTTTAAAAAATGCTGTTTATAAAGAGGTGACGAAAGCAGAACTTGGTGAGGGAGAATTCAGTCCTAAGGAGATTTACACCCATCTAACACCGGGGAGAATTCACTCCCAAGCAGAAATACACCTACTGAAATCAGGGCGCTTAAAGGTTGTAACTGGCAGTCTTTAAGCAGCGGCTCGACAAACACTTGTCAGGGATGCTTTAGGCTGGTCCTGCATTCGTCAGGGGGTTGGACTAGATGGCCTGTATGGGCGCCCTTCCAACTCTATGATTCTATAGGATGATGCTGGGAGGCAGCTAGAATAAATGTGCTGCTTTATCTCCCATCCTCAAGCCTGGAATTGAGTTCTTCCTGTATCCCCCCCCCCCCAAAAAAAGGGGGGGAAGGCGGGAATCAAATTCTCCAGATCTGTTTCTCCAGACTGCATTCTGTTTCTTCAGACTACATAAATCCATGCATACTCTCCCCTCACACCCAGCGCGAAAGGATAGATAGATAGGCTGCATTCTTGCACTGTTTGAATTTGTTAGTCTGTCCAGCCATCCTGCCAAACGGAGCGCTGAGCAGTTAACAAATTATACATTTCCAGATAATCACTGTTGGCCACAGAACAAAACACGGCAGGTAGTCCTGTTGTGGGGGACTCTTGGCAACAATCCCCAAGGTAGCAGTTCTCCCATGCTTTTTGTAGATGCCTCTGGAAGGGCCTGGGATGGTGTAGTGGTTAGAGCGTTGTCCCGCAACTAGGGAGCTGCAAGTTCGGATCTCCCACTCTGCTACGGTGCTTAGTGGTTGATCACTATGTAATGGAGTAGGGGCATAATTGACTGCATGGGTACCAAATTGCAGCCGTCTGTCTCCTGGAGAAAAAGCTGTAGCCACTTCATGATCATCGGGCAGCGACTCTCTGGAACCTTTCCAAGCCTCAGTCTGGCCTGTGGATGAATCCAGACGGCTTGCAAAAAACCCTGCATGTATTTATTTATTTGAAATATTTGAATTTTTTTTAATGGCCTCGGCAGCTCAACTCAAATAAATACAAATACAATACCATTATTGGCATAAAATATCAAGCACACATGCAGCATAGAGCCTCAAGATAGGCTGGAGGGGTATCACATTCCGAATTGCCTTAATGTGAGCCTCTCCTCCTAGATACCTCATAAAAGAAATTTTCTACAGGTTCCAGAATTTCTATATTATGCGAAGACAATAAAGAACTAATTTTATGCTCATCAGATTGGCCCAAAAGGGGGTCCAACACAGGTTCAATATAAACAACACGGATGTCATAGTGGAATTTACAGTACAATAGCACATGTCCAATGGATTCAATTTCCCCCATCCCACAGGGGCACAATCTATGTTTATAGGGAATTTTCTTGAATCTTCCCGATAGAACAGCTGAGGGAAGGACGTCGAACCGCGCTAGCATGAAAGCCCTATGCAACTCAATCTTTCAAAACATACGCACAGTCTTTTTATTTATTTATTGAATTTACACCCCACCCTACCCAAAAAATGGGATTCAAACAAAACAGAAGCCTACATCGGCAGGATCTATTTGGAAGAAGGGCGGAATCAAAATGTATTAACTACACAAACTTCTGTTTTTAAATTTAAATTTTTTCTCTAAGCTTTTTATTAGCTTATCTACATGAAAAATAAATGACAGGTCTTTAAAATTGTTAACAAATCTCTTTTTTTTTGTACATTACTGCAGTGCTCCCTCTAAGCTGTGGAGTCTTGTGAGCAAAAATTCTACTTTGTGAGCTGCTGGCATTAAAGTTGTGAGCGAGCGATTTGGCTACTGCATAAATTAGCTTGCTCTGGAGCCCTCCTTCCTGAGCTAGGACAAAAATGTGTGAGCCGAAGACTAAAAAAAGCTGTGAGGTAGCCCACCCTAACTCAGCGTAGAGGGAGCTCTGCATTACTGTGTGCTGCTTCTCTTTAAGAGTATCGATGTGATAGAAGTTTGAGCTGAAATGAGGTTTGTTTTTTTTAAAATCTTTTTAAACTAGACTCCTGTATGGCACAGATCACGTGTGAGGCTGACTTCAGAACCTGGTGGTAGGCTCCTTCCTGCCCCCCACCCCACCACCGTGCTACATTTGGACAGAAAGTGAAGTGGTCAGAGAAGACGTAGCAGGCCTGAAGCCTTCCTTGATTTGAGGAGACGGAATGGCTTCCGAGGAGGAGGTGACCATCCCCCTCAGTCTCCAGGAATGTTTTCCCGCCGAGCAGGAGGTTGAGAAGATGGCTGCACGGCCCCCATGGGTCACTGGAGATGATTTAGAAGGCACCAAAATGAGCAATCATGTTGCCCAAGTTAAAATGGAAGAGCCCCCAGCCTGTGAGGATGCCCAGTGGAAAGACACCACGGGAGCCACCAAGGTCTCCCGCTCAGAACTCAAGAACGCTCCTTTACCAGACCCCCCTTGCTGGGATGATATCTTCCCGCCTTCTGTCGCGAAGGCGACTAATGCCCATACTGAAAAATGGGCGGCCCAGTTCATGCCGGGCCTCAAGGAAGAAGTTCGGTTGGAGGACAGGGAAGTGGGCGACTATGGCAAGGTGAAGGCAGCCATCTTGCGAGTGGACGCCATCAGCACGGAAGTCCAGCGGCAGCACTTCCGGCGCTTCCAGTACAAGGAGGCCGACGGCCCCCGGGAGGCGTGTAGCCGGCTCTGGTTCCTTTGCCACCGGTGGCTGAAGCCAGAGAGACACACCAAGGAGCAGATCCTGGAGCTGTTGATCTTGGAGCAGTTCATGGCCATCTTGTCTCCGGAACTCCAGAGCTGGGTCAAAGATGGCTGCCCAGAGACTTGTGCCCAAGCAGTGACCCTGGAAGAAGAATTCCTTTTTTGACAGGCCGAGACACCAGAGCAGTCGGTAAGACCTTTGCGAGTCAAACGTCTTGTGGGATTGGGTGGTGGCAGCGGCGACAGGAAATGGTGCACTCTCCAGGATTGTTTGTGTCTGGTGTATTCCTGTCTTTATCGGGTCATTCAGTAAATACCGGTGAAATTTTTCAGGGAGCTAAGTTCTTAAGAGAGCTAGTTTGGTGTAGTGGTTAGGAGCATGGACTCTAATCTGGGAGAACCAGGTTTGATTCCCTGCTTCTCCACATGCAGCTGCTGGTGTGACCTCGGGTCAATTACCTCAGAGCTGTTCTCTCAAGAGCAGTTCTTGAAATAGCTCTCTCAGCTCCACCTACCTGTGGTGGAGAGGGGAAGGGAAAGGAGATTGCAAACTGTTCTGAGACCCCTTCGGGTAGTGAAGGGCAGGGTATGAATCCAATCTCCTCTTCTTAGTCTTCTTAAGAGCAGCAAATGAAAACTCAGCTTGACAGTGTACATCGGTCACGTAAAACAGGCTACAGTTGTCCCTGTGCTGCTATAGATTGGAGGGGGAGGGGGGAGATTGAAAAGGGAAGTTGTTCACACCAGTCCGAATAAAATCCAGAAATGAAAAACACAAACCTATGTAATGTCTCTTACAAGGACCAACCCACTGAAATACGACAGTATGCAAGGTTTTTGAGTCCAACAGAAGTCTTCTTCAGGGGGCTGTTAACCAAAATACATGTATAAAAAGGATTCGGTGAAGAGAGAACACCTCGCGACATGGCGTTAAGGCTTGTTAAAGCCTGCACTGTGTGTAAGATGCGACAGAGACTTAAACAGAGGTGGCTTCACGTTACTCCAGGCCAAAGGCAATACACTGATTTCACTCCATAGAGAAAGCAAAGTCCAGCAAATATCTCTGATCTCTCTCTAAACCAGTGAGACTCAATATCCCCTTTTCGGAAGAGAGGCTAGAAGTCACCTGAAAGTAATTGTATTAGCTTAGGAGATAAATGGAAGTATAGCGTCTGAAGCCAAATTGGGTCATTTTACCTCATGTTGTGTTCCCGAGGCATTTCTCCCTTTCCCAGACTCTTCTTATGCACTCTGGGGAACTTGAAACTCCATATCGCAGGTACCACCTGCTTAATTTCTGCCTTGAAGGTAAGTGAACTGGGCCAGCGGAAAATGCAAGTGGCACTTGAGAGCGTGCTGGTGGGATCCAGATAATGTTCTCAGTTGGGTTGGATAACAGGATTCGGACCGATGGATATAAATGACAGCAAAGGAGACTCCAGTTAAATTTGAGAGAGAATATTCTGGCAGTGGTCTGTTCGACACTGGAACAGTCTCCTAATCGTGACACGGTGGATCCTTCATTGTTGGAGGTTTTTAAACATCAGTTGGACACTTATATGTCCGGGAAATTATAGCTGTGGTTCCAGTTTGGCACAGGGTTGGACAAGATGACCCTGGTGGTCCCTTCCAGCTCTGAGATTAAATATGTACGAGGCTGGAGTGACTGCCCCTGGTTCGAATCTGGGCAAAGTGACCACAGGCAAGTTGCGTCTGTGATCTTTCTCTCTCTGGCCTCTTTGGGGGGTCAACAACAATTGGCCTACCTCACAAGGCTGCTGTGGGGATTACAGGCAGATAGTGGGTACGGAGCTCTTTCAGCATTTCACCATGAAGGCCACGGTTTGCAATAGGTTTGGAAGCCAATGGAGCCTTTGTGTCTGCCCTGCTCCAGTTGTGAGAGGTGACTCGGAGCTTCCTTCCTTGAAGGTTGCCCAGGATGGAGCTTACCAGGAACTTCCTCGCTCCTGGCTCTTTTGTTCATGCCCTGATTCCTACTCTTTCAGGTAGCCGAGGTGTTTGAGGTTGCGAGCGTGGGCTCCCCAAAGGCCGATGGGCTTCCATTGGACCCCGACCAGAAACAGCTGTGCCTGGAGGTCAAAGAGGAGAGCCTTCTGGACGACACTAACTCTTTGGGTAAGGTCTCCATTTGTCTGGAGGGCTCAGCTGCCCTTGTGCTTGGAGGAGTAAATGAAAATTCTGTGCCAGATGTGCCTCAGAGAGGCGTAATCCTGAGCTAAGTTATATGTCATAAACATGTTTTTTGCTGATTTTGCATGTACTTTCTCCCTGCTAGACATAGGGAAGGGCAAGGGCCTACCGGAAAACCTATTTAGCTGCCCTATTACAATTTCACTTGTGGGGGGACTTTGAAGGGGAATCAGGAAGACGGGTATAAAATGGACAGGGCCTTTTTAGTAACGGCCCCAGCCATGGAATACCTTTCCCTTCCCCCCTTTGTACCACATTTGGCTCTTTCAGGGAGTATGGCTTTTGTTTCCCTTCCTTAGTTTCCAGAGTTTCCCCCCCAATTGCACCACAATAGTAATTAGTTTGTTTATGCTTACTATAGAGTCAGTAGCTGCTATTCCCCCCCCCCCTTGATTTCTTTTAGTTTACCTAGTTGGGCTTGTTGGTGTTTGTGTTATTAGTGGGATGTTTTTTGGGGGGGCTTCACTTTCTCCCAAGTTAGGTGGTTGTGAAGAGCCTCAGTCTTGTGGTAGGGAGATATATATATAAATATTTAAATGAATTAGTCAACTGTACGTAGCAGGATGGTGTACTAGGTGGATCTTTGGTCCACTCCCGCAGTGATTGTCTGCAGCTCTGTCATGATCTGGGCTGTGCCACCAGAGGCCTACTAGGCCCAGGGAGCCTGGCTAGCAGTAGGTGAGGCTGGGCCTACAACTCCCAGAAGCCCCTGAGAGGTTTTGGAGCCAAAATTGACCAATAGGGAAGAAGAGGGCTGGGGAACAAAAGGGCTGGTGCCAGAGCAGAAGCTGTTCTTTCTTCCAGAGGGCAGAGCCAGAAGGAAGGCTGCTGTAGGAAGAAACCCTCATCCTGAGGGAAGGGTGAGTAGTCTAGCGCCACTTGGAATAGTGAGCTAGGGACAGTATATATTTAGATGCATTAGGGCATTCGATTTCTTTTCACCCACTTACTGTTGTTATTCTGCACCTTGTTGTTTGACCTCCTATAAAATAAACTATTTTCATTGTTCACTCTGCCTGGTCCTCACACCTATTATTTGGCCAAAAGGGAGGTCTAAAGGTCTTGGGAGGGTGCTCTGGGCCTTCTCAAGGGATCCTAAATCCAGAGTGGTGGCAGCGTCAGGTGACACCCCACCTGAGCCGTGACAAGCTCGCAGGAAGAGAACAGTGGTCTACTCCCCCACAGCTCTTCTGATGTTGTGCTCTTTGTGTTCCCTCAGGCAATTCTCATGTGAGTGAAAACGACGTGGAGATTCCCCATCCGGAGAAGACTGAAACAGAAGAGCCACACGAGGAGGTCTCCGTGGTCAGCGTTGAGACCTTTCCCCTGATTTGCAAAGAGGGAGATGCATCCAATGGTCAGATGCCCCAGAAGCCACGGGGAAAGCCCCCACGGAAGAGGGTGCGCAAATCCATTCCATTAGTGGGGGGCTACAAAGACCTCCATGAAGCCTCTACTGAAGAGGAAGCCCAGGAAGGAGACATGCCCGTGAAGATCATTGTCCTCAAAGGAAACCTGGGCCAGCGTTCAGATCACACCGGGGAGAGAGTTCACAAGTGTTCCGTCTGTGGCAAGGCCTTCAGCCTTCGATCCCGCCTCATCGTCCATGAGAGAACCCACACAGGAGAGAAACCATACACATGCTCCGAGTGTGGGAGGAGCTTCAGCGTGAGCTCGAGTCTCATAGCCCACAGGAGAACCCACACGGGAGAGAAACCCTACAAATGTTCTCACTGTGCCAAGAGCTTCAGCGTGAAGTCGGGGCTGATTGCCCATGAGCGAACCCACACGGGAGAGAAGCCATACAAGTGCTTATACTGCACCAAGAGTTTCCGACGCAACTCGGGTCTGGTTAGCCACCAGAGAATCCACACCGGTGACAAGCCGTACCAATGCTCGGTGTGTGAGAAGAGCTTCAGCGACATATCCAACCTCATTACCCATCACCGGATCCACACAGGAGAAAAACCATACAAGTGCCTGGAGTGCGGGAAGAGCTTCAGCCAGAGTTCATACCTCAATAGCCACCAGAGAATCCACACAGGGGAAAAGCCGTATGAATGCTCAGAATGCGGGAAAACCTTCAGCGTCAGCTCTCGCCTTCGCAAACATCAGAGAAGCCACACCGGAGAGCGGCCATTCGTATGCTTGGACTGTGGAAAGACATTCAGCGAGAGTTCAGATCTCCTCGCGCACGAGAGAGCTCACACCGGTGAAAAGCCCTACAAGTGTTCATACTGCGGGAAGAGCTTCTTGCGCAGCTCGGAGGTGGTGAGCCACGAGAGGATCCATACTGGCGAGAAGCCGTACCACTGCTCCGAGTGCGGGAAAAGCTTCAGCGTCAGCTCCCGCCTCAGCGCGCACCGGAGGATCCACACCGGAGAGAAGCCTTTCCAGTGCCCAGTGTGTGAGAGAAGCTTCAGCTACAAGTCCCACCTTATCACCCACCAGAGAATCCACACAGGAGAGAAACCGTTCCAGTGCTCGGTTTGTGGGAAGAGCTTCCGGGGGAGCTCCAGTCTCGTTGCCCACGAGAGAACGCACACGGGGGAGAAACCGTACCGCTGCTTGGACTGCGGGAAAAGTTTCACTCAGAGCTCAAACCTTATTAGTCATCAGAGAATCCACACAGATGGGAATTCCTGAACCGTATCCATGGGGTGAACTTCCGTAGGTCATGTAGTGTTTCGCCGTCACCTCTCCACCTTTAGTTTCTTAATAAGGCTTGGTACTTTTACAGTCGCGCCCCCCCTATTGCTTTGGGGAGGGGCACTTCCAGCACTCATGGAGAAACAGCTACATCTTCTCCTAGAGCAGAGCATTCCCCTTGAAGAGGAATAGGGATGTGGCCAGTCAGTCCAAACTGAGATCCTTGTGCGTGTGCTAATGTGCTGTCAAGTCACTTCTGATTTATGGTGACCCTACGAATGAATGGCCTCGCCCAGGTCTTGCAAGACGGAAGAGGGCCGTGGCTTGAGTCAGTCCATCTCATGTTGGGTCTTCCTCTTTTTTCTACTGCCTTATCCTTTAGAAAGGAATAGGGATTTTGCTAGTCAGTCCAAACTGAGATGCTTAGTTACTGTTAATTATAGGCTGCGAGCAGAGGAATAAATTGAGGACGGGGGGAAGGGGGGGGAGATTGACGGGGTCTTCATCCCGTGCCAGCTTTCGTGACTCTTCAGAGATGTTTCCTCCTTTCCCGAATGAACTCTCCAGGACTTGCACTGGGCTGGGCAAAGCATAAGAGAAGCCATCCCTTGAAGCGTACAAAGAGAAATGTTGGGGGTTTGCTTTTGTTTTTGTGGGTGGGT